GAACATTTGGAAGAGTCCTATTGGTACACGTTGCCATACTGGAATCTTGCTGACAGCAACCTTGTTTCTGTCCATAAATCTACGTAGATCATGATCAAATGCTTTTTCATTTCTTTTATACATCTGTAATGAGAGAGCATCTATATACATGTACCGATATATATCGCTGATAAGATATAGTAATAACAGCTATATATATATATACTTTGAAAGATAGAAATGTAGAAACTATTTGACAATTAATATCAAGTATGTGGTACTATATAAAATTACCAGAGCCATACATCAATGTAGGACCCAGGTAACAACACAAGCAATCACAGTATTTTTTCTCAATAAAGGAAATACTGCAAAAAAAATAAGAAAACTAGTAACAAAAAAAAAAAAAAATAAAATAAAGAACAAGATGCCAGCCCTGCACACAAGTAGGATTATTTACAGGAAGTGATTTTAACAGTTTAGCAATTAGGACTCTGCACAGAGGGCAATCATGGTCATATCAAATTGATCTATATTGTCCAATTAATTTTCTAATATATGATTACAACAGAAAAGAAAAATAAGCTACCTCTACATCAATCTTGAATTTCTCTTCTTTACTTTTATCCACAAGTGTGTTTTTGAATTTCAATTTTTCAAATTGGAATACATCACTTTGACCATGGATGTCTGTGTCACGAGAAGAAAACTTAGGTACTACAGCATCAACCTGTTGTAACAAGGCAGCAGACATTCTGTCTGATTTACATCGCCGTACAGATTCCCTCTTAGAATCTCCTCCACATAGCTGACAACAGGTTTGGGATTCCTTCTTAATTCTTCTCTTTCTGCCATCTGTTAAACAAACAAGATGGGTTTATAAAATATGATTCCCTTGGTTGCAATAAAATTATGAAGTGGGTCATAACTGTACTGTGTAAGGTATGTGCTCATTGCATGTACACTTTGGGAAACACTTACTCTATGTCATCATCATTGTGGTAATGATTTTTTTTTTTTAATTTCAAATGTAGATCAAAGATCATGGTCAAGTTCACATGGCAAAAAATTGTGGTACTACCCAAAACTTCTTATTACAAGGAACACACAAGCCAAATATGAATGCCATTACCTCTTTCAATACAATATTTATGGCCAACATTGAAGTTGACAACAGACACACGTTCGATACAGGGGCATGAAAATATTGTAGGATAATTAAAATGCCAGACACTGCTAAGGAACCTGCCATTCCTTACACTAATGAATTGGAGGAACCAGACTAATTTTTTAACGTATATATACAAACATGTTTGTCAAATTAAACCAGCAGAAAATATGTTATCGACAACTTCAATACTGCCATACCTGTATGCTCTTCCTCTACTTTTTCACTGTACTTAAATGTACACAGAGCCAATCGTTGGTCCACATTCAGGCAGATTAATCTGTCTGCCTCTGCAATGGCCAGGTCAACAGGCACCTTGTTGTACTTTTTCCTCTGGATCTTATTATTAGCCATAGTCAGTGCCATCTGTTTGGTCCTACACTTCCTCTGTTCTCAATACAAAATAATAATCTGGTGTAAAAACTGTAATTATCACACCCATGGAGTCTTTTCTCCATTTTACTATAAATAATTTAAAGATTGATACAGTCTTGGTAGTTGACACATGAATGTGTGTGATGTGAAGGCATACTGACAAACAATCTGAAGTTCCTTAATTGACTGTTGGTGTTGTTGCCTCCCTTTACTTGTATCCAGCAACGACATTAAAGACCTTAAACTTGGTTGCCCTACTTTGACTCGCAAAACAAGTAAGAGACCTACTTGCCTACCTTTTGTGGGTTATCTTCTTCCCTGTGGCCATAAAGGGTCAACTTGTCAGCCCTGATCCAGCCGTGGCTGTGTTTTGTTCCCAGGTATTCAACATGGTAGAACTGGGGCTCTCCTTCCTTGCCCCACTCACAAGAAATACCACAGGCTGGGTCCCCTGTTACAAGAGCTGGCCACCTGAAAGTTAAATTCTCTGTTAAAATGGAACTGTATGGAAAGTGAAAAAGAAACTGAATGTTTGTGAAACATTTTTTTCCTTGTCCCTAGTTTGATAAAAATAGAGCAAATATCAAATGGGATTCATTTCTTCAGTTCCTGTACACTTATTTCTTTAAAAAGGAAAAACAAAAACACACAAAAAGATTTTTAACAGCTTTTAACATTCATTTACCATTCATTAGGGAAAACAGTATCATTCTAATATTCAAAAACCAACAAAATGTGTCTGTGAAAAAATCCTGTGACAATGAAACCTTGTTCTAGCATCTCTGCTCAAGCTATACATCTGCAATTACTGCTTCATAATATGATGCAATTATCACTGTTGAAAGGAAATGAAATGACTTTAAGAGGAAGTAATCCATACCCGTGACACCTGCCCCAAACCCTTACAACAGTGTGCTACATCAGCAGTTTTGCTACCTGCAGTAGCCCATCATCTTTGCCCAGACGAGGGTACCCTCAGACAGTTGAGACATAACATAATTGAGCCCCAGCTTTCGTGCCAGCTTGTCATAGGCATGGTGGTCCTCCTCCTGAGCCATACAGCTGTTGTACCCGGGGTCAGTACCCATGTGGCAGTACCATTGTTTCTGACTGAGACCCTCACTCTCACTCACGGGTATGCGTCTCCATTTCTGACAGTCTATATCATCACACTGTACCCAGGTAAAGTCTGTGATCTGTGCAAAAACATACCATTAAAATTGAAGTATGTCAACTCAATATAAATAAAGTCATAGAAATGGTAAAAAAAAACAACATAACAAAGCAAAAACGAAATAAAGTACAAAGCATTTTACAATATACCCTGAATGTAATATCAATCAATCTCCAAATGAAATATTATGATTACAGACTTCCTAATAATACCCACCATAATTACCTGGTTTCATTCTTGGTGGCAAATATTGAAAGAACAAAGTGTACCACATCCTTACTATTGAAATATTTTATATCAATGTGAGAATATTATTGTTGCAAGGAATGAAAATACATATAATTTTTAAAAATATTGCAAAGTCCTCAGATCTCAAAAGCAGTAAAATAATATATAAGTTGAGAAAACATGCACCTGTTTTTTCAGTTGTTCTCTCTCTGCTCTCTGTAATGATGTAACTTCCTGAGACAATGATATATTGTCACTAAACAAATCCTGACTCATCTTCTCCATTTGAAGGCATTCTTTAACAGTTGAATCATTTTTATCTGAAATACAAAAACTTTATATGATGTAAAAATGTTTAAAAAATGGCTTGCTTAATTTTCATAACAGACAGTATAGTAATACATTATTCTACATGTAATATATGCTGTTAGGGGTGAAATAAACTACAGCCTACATGCAATGAAATTTCATCAACTATAACTATTGAATCATAACTATTCAATGCCAATTTGTTACTGCCAAATTATTTACATCTTCCTGATGCAAGATTTTCAGGAATAGTTTTTAATCACTCCACCTTTTTTCGAACCCAGATCATAATTTGTTGGTTCAACCTTTCTGATAACTAATTACAACCCAATCTAACAATTAAGTGAAGTCTTTTCTTTGTAATTAAAACAATTTTGGCAAGAGTAAAAAAAGTGAGGATAATCACAATATCTATGTTGATATACATATCAAATCATAATTTAAAAGTGAAATATTCCTGACAAGTCAATAAAAATATCTTTTAACAATTTTACATTACAAAAAACGTTTTGTCTGTGGTTCAAATCAAACTGCAAGCCATATTTCGTCAAGGTGTCAGGGAAAATGGTTATTTTGTCTTGAGGGAAAATCTGATATTTCTGAAACAATGTTTAGTTTTGGACAGGGAAAGTTATCCAATTTTAAAACTATGTGCTCTATAATGTCATATTATGACAGGAATTGCACCAACTAGGTGTTATAATGAAATTAAATGGGATCTTAGTTTGCATATTTTGAATGATACCCTTAAAAATGAGTTGGGGGTTCCCATTTACATTCCTTTGAAATAAGTTGAGGAACATTACTAGGACAAGTGTTGCAATTCCTGACAGGTGTACAATTTCGGCCACATAAATAAAACTCCTATTGCTGTTGTATACTATTGAGCTTGTAACAAAGATATATACCATTTAAATGTCTTTTCTTTCTTCTTCTTGTGTTATATTGGTGATTTTCCATGTTCTGAGCTGCTGAAACAAATACGCTTTTACTCATTTATGTTCTTATTTACATTTTTGAAGCCATATGATACAACTCAATGACTTCCAAAAAAATCCAAATTTAGTCTACATTCTTTCCCTACAGGAAATAACTTCCCTTGATATTTTACAATTTAACAACGCATACGTTAAAATTATTAGGAATAATTATGAATATTCCTTAAATCATATGTATATGTCTGATGCATTTTATGACGATTTATCAGTATTACATTTAAAAAGACTCTTTACGATATAATACTGTAAACTTTAAAAGTATATTTTAGGAATATTTACAAAGCGACATCGACGCAAGCAACAATTAATCGAAATTCGATGTGTTTGTTTACTATGGAGAGATGATAACGCAGCAGAACAGCATTCTATACATATTACCTAAATCTACTTCAATCTTTCGGTTCTTGTAACTTTAGCAGACGAAGTAATCGTCTTTGGTCACATGATCAGAAAGTCTCTAAATATTGCGAATTGTAAAATTTGAAACATAATAGATTTTAGCATCATGTAATTTATAGAAAATATATTATTTTATAAATCCTTACATATAACTATATACATTGTTTATTTACTTCAAACCATTATTCTGGTTAACAATAATTTTGTTTAAAGGTTATAGCTACATCCGCATTCATTCCAACGCTTTATTTACACAATCTACACGCATACGACTCAAACGTTACGTTGACCTTAGTTCACCTGCGGCATTGGCATGAATATCGACAGATTGTTGTGATATTTCCGGAAGTTTACAGGTGTGACATTATTGTGGATATTTTCTTGGAAGGATAATAGACATCACTAGATAAGTAAGTATCAGTTTTTGTTAAATATACATTCGTTTACACAGCAATGTCACAGGGAAGCTTAAACATAATTCCAGAAACAACACACCGTTATCAGCCTCACCGTAGTGTTGACATATCCTAATATCCTATATGTTATTGACCTATCAATGCATATTTAACATATGCAAATTAAAATGAGTAGACACGTACATCATTAATTTTCGTGCAACGAAGGGTATGATGGCATTTAAATTTGGGCGTTGTGTACATTAGACAGGTAGAAGTGTTTTCAATCCTTTCCCGTGTGCAGTGAAAACGTTCATGCTGCAGGTAGAACGTATGGAGGCGTTCGGTAATTTATAATATCAAAACAGATAAAAAGGATGAAAAACTTACCACATGCTTTCCTAGTATGTTTATTATGATCACGAATGACCTTGATTTTTAATTTATGTTTGAAAGACCCTGTGAACTTACGGAATATATATACCCAGGTGTGTAAAGTCTCGCTGATGAAGTCCTGTAAACGTTTTATTGATCATGCATTTAGGATACTTGTAAACTTATTTTAACTGACAATTAGTTATACTGGGTCAAATTATTGTTACTGAGTGATCATTCTGATGCTTTACATAGGCCTGCATATGTCAAACTGTTCCAGCCTCCAGCCAGTCTGTCCTTTGTCATTACTGCCCCATAATTGCTTCAACTCTCAGTATGTAGCTATAGTGATTCCATAATGTGACAGTGCAGGGAAAAATTCACATCTCTGTTGACATGAATGTAATCCGCATCTCTGGCTTGATAATCCACAGCTCTACCAACTGAGCTAAAAAAGCATGCATAATGCTCAATCAGCTATGGGACAGGGTTGTATTTAATACAATCTACAATGGCATTGTGTTTATGTAAGATTCTATGTTCAAATGTACAAATTAAACACACATGCTCTTTTTAAACTGTTACATCTGTCTTCCTTGAGATATCCTATATCTCTTCCCAAGCCTCTAAATACTATGAAAGTACCAGGAAAAACACATGGAATATAGGTCTATTCTCTGGCATGATGATCTATGGCTCGACCATCTATGTCAAAGAAGCATGCTCCTTTATCTGAGTAACAGAGACTATATTTCATACAATCTATAATGACATTGTGTGTTGTAAGATTCTATGTTCCATTATAGATATTATTCTGGCATCATTTCTTGGGCACTTATGTATCAAGAGGCTAGCTGAAATGAAACTTTTCTAAGTATTATGAAAATGAAAAAATGTAAATAATTCAATTTAAAATATACCTAAGAAGCAATTGACCAAAATTTTGATACTGACAACTAAAAACACCTATGTAATATTTCTTACTACTTTTTGCTAAAACTATCATTTGATGTATATCTATGATATCAAAATGGAAGGACATGCTAAGGAACATGTATGTATGTACACCTTTATTCAAGAAGCATGGCAGGTATTATCAGTAATTATCCAACAAAATATTGTCCATAGACCTATAGATTTTCTCTTTTATCAGCTGTGTAGAAAGTATTTGAAAGGATTATTTTCAAACTTATGCATAATATATTGATTGAAAAGTTTTTTTTTTCAACATCAGTCTACTTTCATGTCTGCATCCATTGAATTCCAATTTCTTGAGACACATTCTTATCAAAACATTTGTTGTTCACGAAGTGACTCATACCAGTATAATACTGTATGACTTTTCTGAAGCCTTTGATGGTGTATGGAATTGTGGATTTCTTTCAAAGTTACAGATGTATAACTTTAATGGAACTTCTTCTAGGTAATTTATTTGTGACGTGAAAAATATTTGTTCTTAATCATAAACAAGAAGTCTATATATATATGAAACATATTCAAAGCATGATTGGGTTGCCTTGTGTTGATTCTTTCTTTATCTGTATAAATAGCCAGTGTGAGGTTTGATAGATAATTATGGTAATTATGATACCAATAAGGGAACATTAATGTTTATGCTTGTTGCTGTTACAAAAGTACTTATTCCTGATGAAAGAATATTCATGATCTTGTCAGTATGGATAATTAGTTACATGTAAAGTATCTTTACCATTTCACAAATGATTAAAAAAGTCAACAAAAAGGAATTTTTACATGTAAACCAAACCAGTCAAATGTAGTGGTTACTTTCAGCATTTACCTGTGGAATTTTACATGCAAATTAATTAATTAATTTTAAGATTTCTGGTGTAAATGTCAATGAGTTGTTTAAATATTACATTAAATCTTGATAAATTATGAAATTTTTGTGGGTATTAATTTCATGGGTTTTTTTTTTCCTTCAAAAAGTATTTTTGTGGACAATCAATTTTATTGATAAATATAGCAAAATAAACCTACTTCTTTTAATTTAACAGTTAATTGACCTATGAATAAACTGATCAAGAATACTGACAAAATGAACAGAAATAAATCTCCCATGAAAATTGATAATTTGACACTCTTAATTAATGCTTTATAATTAGTTCAGTTATTTGGAACCAGTAGTTACACCACTTGACATACCTATAATTAAAAATCTGTCGTTGAAAATGGTATAAAAATATAATTCTGGATTGATTTCATTGGTTGGTTAATCAAGGTAACAGAACAATTTTGGTAGTCATCTTCTGCTGTAGGAAAATCTGAAATTCAGTTAAAGGTAATTATGCTGCAAATAATCAATTTCTATCAACTTTTCTTATGTCACCTCCCACCAGGTTATTAGATGGGTGGATGCATGGGGGCAACAAATGTTACCATGTCCATCTGTCCCATCACTTCTTTTGAGTTGATGTTGATGTACATTGTAATACCATGAGAGTGTCTCGACAAATTTGGTTCAAATATACCCCAATATTTCATTACATCATATATGTACTGGTATATAAAGGTGGTCATTGGCCAAAGTAAGAAGGTCATATGTGAAAACTTCTTCAAAATCATAAAACAATGATACTAATTTTCTAGTTTGAATTACAAACTAAAATTCATATTTTAATATATCGTTATCTGACCAATTATAGCTTGCAATACAGTTTTTCAAGAACGTGTGAACAAATATTTTGTTGGAAAAAACTGGCATTGATGGTTAAATATCAGATAGATATATAAATATAGCTGTAGCTTAGTGAATTTTGTAGTCTGTATGTCAATTTTTAAGTTCATCTGGTCTGAAGGGCCAAGTGAGAGTATGCTGTGCTGTGGTGTCCATCATATGCATGATGTCAACTTTTCCTTCTAACCAACTTCTTCTCAATAACCAACATTTGGCTGGTGGGTTGCTGGGATGAAGTCCAACAAAGTTGGCAAAAAGAAATGACCTTTACCCTTATTCAAGGTCACAGGGATTTGTTTAAACCTGAAAACAACTTCTGAATAACAGAAAGGCACAGAAACATGGTATTAGGCTGATAGGTTCCTAGGATGAAGCCGAATTAAGTTTGCGAAAAGAAATGACCTGGACCTTTATTCAAGGTCACAAGGGTCAAATTTGTTAAAACATTTTAACAATTTCTTCTGACAAACCAAAAGAAGCAAAAGCATGATATTTAGCTGGTAGATCTCTGGGGGTGATGCCCAATAAAGTTTGCAAGAAAGAAATGACCTTGAACCATATTGACGGTCACAGGGATCAAATTGCCAGGACCTGCAAAAGACTTCTTTGGGAAACCAAAATTTTGAGAAGTAGGATATTTGGTAGAAAGGTGTTTCTAGATCAAAGCCTGACAAGTTTTGAAAAAATAGAAATGGTATTTACCTCTAATCCAGGTCATAACTGTCACTGTTTAGAGCAGAGTATTAGAAGCTATTTCCTGTGGAATTTGATTGAAATTGCTTGGATGTGCTCCTCTTCCCTGTGGTGTAGGTGTAAATGTATTTGTGATAAATACCAATTCTATTATTATTGAATGTTTACATTGTAATACCAGGTGAGTGATGCAGACCCACTGGGCCTCTTGTTATGTTAACCTACCATTATCTTGGTAAGTTAATTCAGTTATCCTCAAAATGTAGGCATGTAGTACATAGACATACACTATGCAAGTGTATAACAGATATATCGTTTATAATTGTATGACTTGTTAAAAGAAATACATTATGGCGTATTTTGATTACTGTCAAATATGTCTCCGGATAGTCTCTGATTAATTAGAGTGTGACCACTGATGTCAGAATATCAAAAAAAGCTGATGTCTGACTGTCAAGTGAAAAATTGGAGTCCTGTAATTTACTCCAGTTACACTGTATATGTGTGGTGTCTAGGTGCAATGACTGGTCTATCATATTTTCAGTCTATTTTTCACAATGTCCAATTTTTGTAAGAAGCTGCATAGGATTGTAAATGAGTTTTCATTTCATGAGATTTTATAAAACAAATTTTAGAAATTTTTTTGGAGCCTTAGCAAGCAAAAAAAAAATTAAAAATTTTTTTTTTTTAAAATTTGATATAATTTTCATTTTCAAATTTCATTTGAAATGAAAACAAATTTAAGATATATTTTTTATTACATAACTCGGAAAAGTTACATTTTGACAGGTTTTTAAATAAAATTTGACGAGACAAAGTCATACAGAAATAGCCATTTTGTTGTGCCATTTACTATTCACAATTTACATGTAATGTCATTTTCCATAATATGACTTCACAGTCAATAGCTGACTGGTACAGTCAATAGCTGACTGGTGCAGACAATATAAAAATGCTTCTGTTTATATTACACTAGTGACATTTACTCGAAGCATTTTCACATTGGTGTAGTCAGATAACAGGCTGATTATGTGATCAATTTTATTTACGTCCTGAAGGTTCTATTATAAATGCATGTAAAATTAAACATCACATATCTTTGTTTCACTGTAGCTTGCATTTATCTTCTGATAGGTCTAATGTATTATTGTAAATAATATTGAAACCATTTTTTTGTTGGGTGGTCTGGTGGATGTAGTAGTAATATGCTTGCCTTTCATCTAGATGTCAAAGGTTTGATTCCCGGAACTGA